TTTCTCATCTCTTCAATTGAACAGATGTTTGGAGGAGATGAAATAATTTTCCAAGATGACAGTGCTTCGTGCCATAAGAAGGCTCCAACCTGCAAATCTGATCTGGCAACTTCTATCAAAGAGAGTTGGCACCAAATTGACGAAGAATACTGTTTGTCACTCATCAAGTCCATGCCTCAGAGACTGCAAGCCATTATAAAAGCCAAAGGTGGTGCAACTAAATACTAGTGATGTATTTCAATTGGTCTCTTGTTTATCTGTTTTTCATGATTCCATACTTTTTTCCTCAGAATTGAGTGATTCCATATATTTTTCCCCCTGTACTTGGTCAATAAAAGTAACATTCACTGACTTCCACAATGTTTTCTCTTCATTTCTTTGAGTGTTCCTGAAAGCCAACAAGTTGCACTTTGGAATGACCTTATTATTGTATCATGTTTTTGATCTGAGTTTGTTTTACAGAATGAAATGTCTGAATCCAAGACTGGTGATTCCATACTTTTTTGCCAGGGGTTGCATATAGCTTTAACATTGCATCATATCTAGTAGCTAAAGGCCAGTTTTATGAAAATTGAAAGACCCCCATGGGAGGAAAACTTTTCTCTGAGCTGTATCTTCTTACCACATTATTAGTTCCAATCCACATGGATATAAATCTCAGCACTCTCCCATTAAAACTGCCAACTCAGCTCTACTCCCGCTGTAAGAAAACCTAATATCTATAAAACAGAAATGATTAATTAACACTATTTTAAAATGTATCTGCAATTTCCATCCTGCCAATTTGCCAGCTGCCATGCAGGACAGGCAGTAAGAAGTGTGCAGGCTTTTAATTAAAGTCTGTGTAGTTAAGGGCTCGGGCTAAGCAAACAGGGGCCTCCAGCAGCAGAGTTTAAGATGAGGTAAATGAGAGTGGGGTGTCAGGGTGGGCAGAATAAAAAAAAGAATAAAAAAAAGAGGAGCAATGTATCAGCGTGAATACATATCTTACAAATCTCTATTTGTATAGATTTGAGCAGACATGGATAAAAGCGTGATGCGAGGGGTGTAGGACGCACAGCAGGGTGGAGTGCAGTCAGAGATGGTATCATTGTTATCTGACGTGTCATAATGTGATGCGGATATTAGGGTAGGACCGGCAAGACATGCAGAGTTCTGGGGGTTAGGAGAGGGGGAGGAAACAATAAAAGTAGGTGGCAGCTGCTGAGATAATGTTGGTTTTCCAACTGGTTGTAGGGAATGCCGTTGGGTAGAATTATTTAAAAGTACAAAAATAAAATCTAATGATGTAAAGAAAATGGATTATTAGATACTTCACCATTTTAAAAAATATTTAAAACGCACAAAAAGCACGTGCACTACAGAAACCTACAATGTGACAGATCAGTTTACAAATCAAGCAGAGCTCTGTTGAGTTTTGGTCTGAATGGAGATAGTGACACCTGCTGGTGGATCTGTAGACCTACACAAACCTGCAAAATTACATCGAAAAAATGCATACTATCTTCTTTAAATGCTTCCTCTATAAATATTATTAAACTTGGAAAAACTTTTGATTCTTGGAGATTAAAGGTCAAGGATTCCAAATAATCACCATATTGGCATTCTTTTATAATTTTTTTGAGTCAAAGGTGCTAATGTTTCAGATGTTTGAGTTGCTTTTAGCAGTTAGGCCAAAATATTTTAGTTTTTTTACACATTCTTCACATACTGTTTGATAGAAATACTGTACTTCGGAGAGGTCAAAATTGTTAAAAGGTAATTACTACCACAATTATCATGCGGTATTCTGAACTTTTATACCGTTTTAGTTTGAGCGCTTTGATTGTCAAAATAAGACTCAACCGTTTATAGCGTTTCAAATTATTGATTATACCAGGATAAGTTTTATACTGTAGTATGTTAGTTTCCCTCCTGCAAAATCTTTACTGTTTAGGATTTTTGTGTCTCTGAGGCCACAGTTTAGTGGACAGCTTTGTAATACATAATGAATGTATTTTGACAATACAAGACAATGGGAAAAGGAAAAGAAATGAAAGAGCGAGATGACCAAGTGAGTAAGTGATCCAAGACAGAAATTTATATTACTTCAAAAGTTCACAATACAGAGAATAGAAAACATTCTGAACAACTTCACAAATGTGTGAAGAACAGAGTTACACCTGTTATGACAAATCAGGAAAAAAATAAAATCAAATCAAAACCAAGATACGAACGGTGGCATATTTTTGACCTGAGAACTTTTTCCAGTTTTAATAAATGACAGGAATTAAGTTTTACTCAATAAATGTTTTTACATGTTTATATAAGAAATGTAAAATCACATACATGTTCCTTTGGAGGGCAATATTTTCAAAAAGGGTTGGCATCTTTGGTTTTATAATGTTGTTGTACTGGCATTATTATGGCTGTGTAAATGTATTTAACAAAAAACATTCATGTTTTACTTTAAACTACCTTTTCTGGTCTGATTTTATGCACAATTTTGAACAACTCGCTTAAAAAAACAAAACCTTTAAATATACATATCAGTCTCATTTTAATAAATTTTGTTTTAAATACACAAGTTCAGATTTAGAAAAAGAATGTACTGCATACCTAAGGATAGTTTATGAACCTCATGTTTTATCACATATCTGACTGTTAGTGTTTTTTAAAGGTTGGTTGTGCCCAGAGAAAATATCACAAACATGACTGGGTCCCAACAAACTCCTTCATTTTTAGTTTTTACTAAAATTAGTTATTGGTCTTTCTGTAGTTTTAAAATATATTTGAACTTCGCCAATTAATGTGGCTTTTCCCACTTATTTTTCTGCTTAGAGGAATGATTTACAAAATAAAATAAAAAAAAATCAGCATTATTTTATAAAATATTCATGGTCCTTCATAAATGTTTATCTGGAATAGAAAAACGTCARGAATAAAGAGGAAATACTGTAAAAGAAATGAATAATCAAACAACCTCCTCTAATTCTGTAGAAACGTCTGGTTTAAAACCTTATTAAAGAAGCTGGTGAATAAAAATGATTTGCTTCAGATTTTTGAATCATGATTCATTTTCACATCAGTAAACCTAACGAACATCTGTTCACGTGTTTCAACTTATTTCGTGAAATTAATTAAGCTGTGATTCAAGTGAACTGATTTCATTTTAAATGTATTTTACAATATCAACAAATTAATCTCATAAGTTTTTGAGAAGCTTGTAGACATGAAGAACACAACTTCATTTAAGCTCTCTAAAGGCTTCACAAGTTGATTGTTCACCAAGAACATCAACAAACTACTGAATATGTTAGTGGCTGATTGGCCTTTCCCTCTTTGGGGAAGTGTAGCTTAATCACTGGGATTATGCAGACAATTTTTTTTTTACGGGAATTCACGTGAAGAATAAATCAATGAAAGTGCGGCAAACTAAAGGGTAATGAAGACAGGAGGCCAGCAGGGGGAACCAACACATAAAGTCAGTCTATCAGTAGGAGCTGGTCTGAGACCGAAGCTTCGCTAAAAGCCCCTTTGGGACGCTGTTTGTCTTTCTCTCCCTGTAAAACTCCTCAAACAGGTCTTTGTTGTGGTCTGTCCTGTAGTCCCACATGGCTCTGCAGCCGGATTCTTCAGTCCTGCAGTTTTTCAGTTTGACAGAGTCGGTGGTCGACACGACGGTTGTTACAGCTGGTCTGATTCTTCTCTGGGGCTGCAGCTCTGCTGAGTGTCTAAAATGACAGTTCTGGCTGTTGTAGGACCAGAGTGGTGGGCTGTGGGCCGGCTCTGTTGGTCCACAGGATCGTCGTATTGGGGAAGGTTTTCATCGACGGGAAGATCCCCATCTTGGAGGTAAGGTGGAGGAGGGAGATCAAACCAAGGAGGCCGACTACAGAAACAGAGAAGAACAACACACACACATGAGCTACAACATACAAATGAATGTTTTAAAGGGGGAGGGGGGGTTGGATGTACTTTCCAGGAACATATTTTAATTCAATACCACGTTAGCATCAGTTGTTATGAAAATGCTGTATATATCAAAAATAAATTGGACTTTGCATCACRGACTTGAAATTGGCCTCTGTTCCTTTAAGAACCTTCTTTTCCGACACTCCCACTTCAGCACGTCTTCACGTCAAAGCTTCGGGGGAGGGCTGCTCTGTGGGGTGGGAGCTGGACTGCAGACTAAGCTCCAGGGAGGAGCTTTGYGTAAATAGGCGGGGCTTTGTACCAGTAAGCATTTAGGCAGCGCCACATGGCTACGACGGGAGATTCAAGGATTTCTCAAACATGCATGAATGAGTCAAAGCAAAACTCAAAAAAGTTGATTTTGCATAATACCTCTGTTAATACTTGTGACTTAGACTAAAAACTAAAAAAGGACTCATCAAAAAATAATTTAACCAAGGAACTTATCCAAATTACATTTTTATGGCTAATTATATTGCAAATTGGATCTTTTTATTTTAAGAAGTTAGATAAAATAATATAGAAAGTGTAAATCACCCAAAGCTGATTAGCTGRAAAGTAGCAAGAAGCGATATTTTAAAATAAAACAATCAAGTCTCTTCAACTATTGTTCTCTATTTCAGTTTTTTTTTATCTGAGCAAATTTTCAAACAACAACATTCTGCTTTTGTTTATTAAATAAATGAGAACACAACAGATTAGAGGATTAAACGTCTGTTTGTTATGAAAACACCACTGGGACTGCAGCTGACGGATAGCTTTGATAGGAAGCAGATTCTTTTCCTGACAACGGGAGACTTTGAGCACCACGCTTTCTGCTTCGCCGTCTGGTTTATCGTTTACAACGTAGATAATCTGCAGCCTCTGCACAGCTGCTGGAATCGTTCCTCCTCTCACCTGACATCCTGAACAGCTTCTGAGTATGACGGAGGCGAGTCCAGTGAGAGCGTGGAGGGGTACATGGTTCCAGACAGCAGCTGTAGAGCCTGAGGAACGGAGCTGAAGGGGCCTGCTGCACGGGCCGAACCAGGGGAGAGACCCGAACCTCCGGGATGCATGTTGCTCCGGTCCAGGATGACCAAACGGGACAGCAGGAGAGGCTGCTGGTGGTGTGAGCTCCCTCGAACACTTCTCGGCAACAGAACGCTGCGCTTCCTCTGGTGATGCAGAACCAGAGCCAGCAGGGCCACCACCAGGACGAATATGACTGCGCTGCCAATGACGGCGTAGGTGATGCTGGGGTAATAGCGCAGGTGATAGTCCAGCGTCACAAAGTCCTGAAAGTCCTGGCCAGGAGCTTCTGTGGATGAGAAGAAGGAGATGAAKAAAAAAATATATAATTGAATTCATGCTTGTTGGAGAAGGAAGGATGAGKTTTGGTGAAGAACTAACCTAAGAAACAGAAAAACGAATGCTAGAGGGAACGAAGACAGGAGTGGAGACAGCATGAATACCAAGCATTAAATTCCTTTTAGGCTTATTTTAAACTGCATTTTGTTTGATTCAATAACAGCCGCTCTTGAAGATGAGAGCTGCACAGAASAATAACAACCACCAGACTCGCCCAACAAGCTCCACGGGACTCGAGGACAAATTGGCCATCAACTTCCAAAGCCCCCCTCCTAAGATGAAAAGCAGGGACCCAACTTTTTACAAGGGAAGAAAGAGAAGCAACAAATCAGCTGAATGTTTCCTTGTGAGGGCAAATCAGCCTCTGGGGTTTTATTTGATTTAAAATGTGACTCGAGTCGTTCTGCATTAAAGATGAGAGAAGGCCAAAAAAGCACCAGGGGCCGTCACACATTACTGTGTTTGTCACCGGAACAGAAAGAGTCTGCAAACTATTTCAAAGTCCGCGGAACTCGGTGGCGCACAAAAAGAGCTGAGGCTCACAGTAACAAACTCAGAACGAGCCACTTTAACGCCTAAAATGAGGTAAGGGGCGACAGTAATGCCCGAGAACACGGCAGCTTATTATTCCAGATAGGATGAGGGAATAGCACTTAAACATTTCCACTGACTGATATTACAGTGAGAGAATTTCAATCAGGCACTCGGGGATGGAGCTCGTGTAAATGGTGTTTCAGCTTATCAGCTGACAGCACTGTTATATTAAGGAGAGGGGAAGAGAGACGGGAAGGAATCCTATTTATTACCGAGCTGCAGAAAGGATGTGCTAATGAGGAATGAGCTACATAAAAGCATTTTACAGTTGCTGTTTCAGTTCAAATTACACTTATGCCTCAAGGGACTGTGAACATCAAACGCCTGTGCATCTCGTAAAAAGCTTAAAACACTCAACGGACTACTTTCTGTCTTACAGGGTTCCATTTTTCCACTTGAAAGTTGATGTGCATTAAAGACTGAAGGCCTCAAACGTGTCCACGTGTCGTAGACCTATCTCAGTCTGCTGGCCATCAAGCAGGCAGATAACTGATTGCCAGGAAATGACCATTACCAGATATCTGAGGTTTGAATCAATAGGCTGAAAATGGTTCCATCTGTAAGGATTAGACCCCCAAGAAACCACAAAGCCTGCAAGTCCTATTGGAACACTTTAAAGTATTCCAGATTCGCAGAGACTTCCTGGCTCTTTGGGGATGAGGTGTTTAGTTCTACATTGAGATTCCGTCCACATTTACAAGTTAGAGTCTTAGAAAATCGAAATAAATGTGCACAAAAAGCACAAACCCATGTGACACGGCAAGATCTGATTCATACAGATATATCGACTGAAATGTTGTTTATAGTTGTAATTTTTTTATTTCTTCTAAAGTAAGCGATGCTGTAAAAAGATGCAAATAAAACTATAGTGGTCTTCAAATCCTTTAGTGTTGGAAACATGTGTAACAGAAGAGAAAACCTGGATGTGAGACATAAAATTTGATTGTTGAAAAAAATAAAAGCGTAAATTGAATTTAGTGTCATGTGTCTAAAACAATGTTTCCAACCGTTTCTCATCACATCTCATMTGTTTTAATATGATTCTAGGAGAGTTTCAATCTGAGGACATCAAACCGAAGCTTCTGGGAGATTTTTTTAATATCAGTGAAGTTTCCCATTGGCTGTCAACTGATCTAATTAGTTTTAAAATATTCCTTTTCCAGGCATCTTTTTTTTGCCAAATCATTAAAACCTGAAATTATATTTCTGACATCACACAGTATAAAAATGAGCAAACGCTTGGCAAAATTACAACTATTCTTTGATTAAAAATATAGTTTATATGGTCTGCAAATCACAGAATCACTTTTCGTTTTGTTCAAAAACTGACTAAATATTAGCCAAACGCCATGAAGATATTTGTTAATTACCAAGCCTGTATTTAAAGTGCCTGTGACAATTTATTGTCATAAATGTGAATGATATTTCAGATAGGTATTAATAACATATTGCAAAGAAAAAAAAAGGAAACAAACATTTGGTAAAATATTCATATGTGCAGTTACAGGAAGTGATGATGAAGGGGACTTCCTGCATGTGAACAGCGCATTGCTACAATGGCTGATAACACAGATTGTAGAGAAGAATTTGATGCTTCTTTGGATTATTTTGAGTCACTATCAGACAGRCACGAAAAYGAGTCAGAGTTCAAATAAYATTGTTTCAGAAAACAAAGATCAGTGAGTTTTCTTTCTCAAAAAGTTYCCCTTTGATGAAATATAAATATAAAGATGTTTTCTTTCACCTKTTGTATTTGAAGGATATGCMTGTCACAGGCACTTTACAGTGTAGCTCTTGTGTGGTTTCTAGTGGCCACTTCACATGATCTAGAATCAGTTTGATACAAACAACCTGTTACATTGTTGCTTCTACGTGTTAGCAKAAGAATTAAACAAGACGAATGAACATTGTGGTGCYTGTTGGGGATTTTCAMATTAAAATGAGTCAAGTTAAGAAAACTAGCTGTCTGCAGTCTTCTGTTTGTTTCACATGAAATATCTAATAAATACAAGGAAGTATATAAACCTTGCTCGTCCATGTATTGCAAAAAAAGTACTATGGTTATAAAAGTCATATTTTTGTGAGAACACTGTGGATAGTAGCAGGTTCACAATAAATATATTGAAACTTATTTCCCTTTCTTAGACATCATGTTGTTTGTTTCCTCTTTCTACCTGACCTTGAAGCCCTGGGGGAGCTTCAGCAGTGTATGTGTGTGCGTGTGTGTGTGTAACTGTGCTCACATAATGTTGAATTCCCAACAACAACTAGCCTGGCACACAGCCTATTTATGCACCCGTGTGCAGTCAGGGGCCCCATGCCTTAATTAAATTTAATCTAATTCAGATGCTCCACCCGCCTGCTGCCCCAACCAAGAAAACCAGCCAATAAAACAAGCCCCCCTTGACCCCTCCCTTGTGATTTAAAATTGGCTAGCCCTTCACGCTACCAATTAATCATGGACAGGACTCTCAACAGAGAGAGACGAAAACAAAGAGGAATTATTTCCATAATAACCTAGTCAAAAAAAAAAGGCTCAAATAAAGAGATCCCACCCCTGCCAACCTGCACGGTCTTTCAGGTTTCAGAGCATTCCTCTGGGAGCAAAGGGAAACACACAAAAGAAACTCATAATGCTGTAATGTGAACAATGGGAGCGTCTTCGGAAGATTCTTGATAGAAAGCTGAAAGGCTGCTGCAAATCACAGAGGAGATGAAAAGACGAGCAACCTCTCTCTTTTTTGGGGGGTCTTGGAGAAGAGGGGTCCTGTGTGTCTTTGGGTTCTGTTTTACGCTTTAAAYGTTGTAGGAACTGTGCCAAGAAAAGTCTGCAGATTTAAAATGAAAAGTATGTGGCATCTGCAACAATGGTAATTAAAATTAAAATAATTTTTGTTTGGGTCTGTTTTTTTTTGGGTTTTCATTCTGAATGAATTTGGTCTGTTTTTTTTTTTCTGATGCATCAAAGCTGATTATCTTCTCACAGAGTTACTCTTTTAATATATTTATTAAGCTTTGCATCTTTTCTCAGCATTTTCTTTGTGTCCATACTCTACTTTCCTGGATTTATTCAACATATTTGGACTTTGGAATTATTTTTCTAACATCTCCCTCCAGTGTTGCGCACCAAGGCTCGTATTTACTTTGAAGAAAAACTTGAAATCACATAAACATTTGCACAGTAAGACCATTCATTGCAGAACTTTCTATTTAAACTTGTTTTGAATTGTAAACTTTTTTGCAAGGTTCTTGTAAATTGCATTCCTTTATTTTTTAAGAAATTATAAATACTTTTTCAAATCTAAGAGTTGAATATACTGTAATTAAAAATGTGACAGGTGCGTGAAAGAAAGAAACAAAAGATGCACTCATAATTCGGTCCTTCACCTGATATGACTTCTCTGTGCGGAACCACAAAAGAAGTGTTGCTTTTGTTTCAAACTCATTTATTTGCAGATCCTACATGACAAGATCATGGTAAAATGATGAAAACAAACAAACAAACAAAAAACAACACTGTTTTTCTGTTTACTCAAGAATGAACTTCTCTTCTAAACAGAAACATATTAAATTTGTAACATGACTGGATTTTAGTACTTGAAACCCTTGCAAATGACATGTTGTACTAAGATCTCTAGAAATAAATATATTTTAAAGGGGCAATATCATGTAAAATCAACTTTTTTGAGTTTTATATCATGTTATAATGTTATACTCTCATAAAAACATGCCCAAAGCCTTGCTTTGACTCTTTCATGCATGTTTGAGAAATCCTGCAGCGTTTTTAGGAAGCCATGCTGAGGAGCAAAACGACAGGTAGGGACCAGAAACGCCTCTGGGACGTGTCTTTAAGCTGAGCTTCCTCATCACGGAGCACACCTACCCCTCCCCTCACACCCCGCCCATGACTCCTGCAGGCTCTCGGGTGAAACTGAAAGTGAAACTTAATCTGCTGAGCTCCTTCTCACTCAGTGAAGATCTTTTCAGATTAAAAATACCTTTGAGGAAGTGTATTTTCAGGTGCCAAGTAAACTGCATCATAACGCGTGCACTGAAATGGGCGGGACAGAAGCGGAAGGTGGCTGTTAAAGAGACAGAGGCCAATTTCAAGGCGTTTAGAAGAGGAAGTGATGAGAAGATAAGTTTATTTTCTATTTAAACATAAAAACAGCATTTTAATAACAACTAAAGGTGACATAGATACTTTATTATGGTGTAGTATCTAAATATATGCCTGAGAAACACATAATATTGTCCCTTTAAATAAAACTCCTCTGATAAAACGTTTTCAAATTTAACGTCAAAATTCAATACAAGTTTCCCTGTTTTGTTACTGCTGAAAGATTTAGAGTCCCC